TTTGATGTGAATGATTTTGAACTAATTTGGTGAATTGGCTGTGAATGATTTTGATAATTTATGTGAATGATTTGGGCGAATTTGATGTGAATGGTTTTGAAAGAATTTGGTAAATTGGCCGTGAATGATTTTGATAAATTATGTGAATGATTTGGGCGAATGTTTGCTGTGAATGATTTTGGTGAAATGTAATTCTGAGTGATTTGGGTGTCAATTAATTTAGGGGCTAGTTTATGGAAATTAGGTTAATGTTAGAGACTAATTTTTTTTTTTTTTTTTTGCTTTTAAACTTCAGTTGTATCATAAATTAATTAGTGAGATAATTATATATACTAAATTAATAATTTAATATATATATATATATAGTGATAAGTACCTTTTAAAATCTAAAGCCGACATTGAACCCAAATAAATGAATTTTTAAATTTTAAAAATTATATTTGCATTAACGCGTAAAGTTTCGAATCGAAAATATTATTTCGGTCAGCTTCGATTGCTAAAGTGCAGCCTGTGAGATTAATATTATTTGATCGATTGTTAGAATTATCGATTGCTAAAGTGCAGCCTGTGAGATTAATATTTATTTGATCGATTGTTATAATTACTGTAAGTTTAGTGCGTGGAACGTCTTATATAAAGCGCAATGTATTGATGTGTAAAGTGCAATGTACTGATATATTAAGTGCAATGTACTGATATAGAAAGTGTAATACTTAAATTATGGTACTTTAACAGTATTGTGTTTTTTTTCGTAAATATATGATGTGATGGATAGTAAAGTTAATGGTCATTCATTTTTTTTTTATATATTTATATTGCGTAATTATTTGACGGGAATTGATGACATTAATTGTGGAGTGTGGTTATAAAGTGCAATGTGATATTTTAGAAAGTTCGACGTGTTGTTTTATAAAGTGCAATATTCAACTATATAAATGCACTAATTTATACTTTCCCATGTGTATCCAAAAACTAGTTTTAATCGATATAATTTTACATGTAATTAGCCTAAATAGTTAAAATATCTTTTTATTTATTATTTTATTATATAATTTATTTATCATTATAAATTATTTTAGTATTTTATATTATTCGATCAATCATTAGAATTACTGTAATTTTAGTATGTGGAACGTACTGCTTTGTAAGTGCAACGTATTGTTGTATAAAGTGCAATGTATTAATATATAAAGTGCAGTACTGAAATTCTCATATTTTTAACAGGATTGTATTTTTTTTTTGGTGGATATATGATGTGATGGATATTATGTTGCTCCATTTTTTATATTTATATAAATAATTTGGCTATAGTTGTTGAGAATATTGAGTGCAGTTATAAAGTGCAATGTGTTGTTTATACAGTTCAACTGTGTTGTTTTATAAAGTGCAATATTCTATTATGTAAAGTGCACTAATTTATAATTTCCCATGTGTATTCGAAAACTAGTTTTAATAGATAATTTTTACATTAATTAACCTAAATAATTAAAATATCTTTTCATTTATTATTTTTATTATATAATTTATTTATTATTATTAATTATTTAATAATTTATATTACTTTTATTTAATAATTATTTGATATTTAATATATATGCACAACAAAATATATAAAAAAAACCATGATTTATTAACTTTCCCTATTTATATATTTGACCCAAGGGGTTAAATTAAAATATAATTAAATTTATGAAATTTCAAACAAGTCCCTAAACTTGATCTAATTCTCAACAAAAGGTCCAACCACACCATACTTCAATTTCAGATTTCAGGCATTTTTTTCGGCGAATCGACAATCACGGACGTTCGTCACGGTCGTACCGTCGTCTGGAGCCTTGTTCGCAGGTGGTCTTTGCTCATCCGGAGGCGGCACGCCTAGAGCCCTGTGGCGGAGGAAGACGGTGGATGCTTAGGAAGGCGACGATCTCTGTGTGTGTGGGGTTGGAGGCGAGCGGCAGTATCGAACGCTTGAACGGTGTGCGTGTGTGTCGGAGATGGCGGTCTCGCGGCGGCGGAGTTGCAGAGGCGAGTGGCGACGGAGTTGCATCGACGAGCGGCGACATAATTGTACTGAAATTGAGTAGATATCGGCGGTGAGAGCGGCGCTGTGGGGATTCCGACGGGCGGGGAAGAGGGTGGAGATGGTGGCGGGGCGACGGCGCCGGTGGTGATGGTGGTGGGCCTGGTT